TAATCTCTCTCGCGATGACATCTAATACCATCCAACGTCGGACGAGTCTGTGAACCTCAAACCTCGAACGTTACTGCTCTCCGGCAGATTTCACAATATGGTACTTCCATAGCCGGTCTCTGACCCCTAAGGGGATTATCGTCGGATTTTCTGTGAACGATGCGCGAACAGCGGGCTGCTCGGACGCAATCAACGGGACACCGGTCGATGGATCTTATCTTCTCAGTCCTCTCCGTCGCGTTGCGGAGTTTCACGATCGCGAAACGATACAGCCGAGTACGTCGTTCGACTGCTTGACTAGGTTTTGAAGGAGATTTCGTTTCGTTATCGAATTAATAACTGCGAATATTTATTTGTAATTTTGAGGAATGTGATAATTATTTTCTGATAAGGCATTCTACTATACTACAAAGGTTGGAAGATTGTACAGTAATCTCTAATACATATTCTTGAAATCTAGAATCTAGATCTACGACCTAGACATAATTGATGAAATCGGAGTTGAAAAGTTAAAAAGCTGAATCAAATGAACTATAACATATACAAAAATTCTTTCAACAAGAATAGCTCCAAAATTCGCCGAACGAGGAGGACCGACAGTAACACAGAGAATGTTCTCCTGCACGTCTGAAATCACGAAACATACGTCGATGACAATATAAAAGGAGTCTCGGATCATTCCTCGAATCACCGAGATTGTTTCTCGGATAATCGTCGATTCCTCGTCACGACCATCCCTCGTTCAAGGTCGTTCGACGATGCTTTCTAACCCAGATCCGATTTCGATTGCAACGATTCAGAACCGACGCTAGAATGACACGAAGCGGAACAACGAGCCACCCGCCCTGAGCTGCTTGCGGAATTACAAAGAGAGAGGAGAGATCGTTGTCGATGGTACCGTACCCTTTGCGTTCAAATCCCCGAAGAAGTTGAACCCTCCTGTTCTCTCTCCTTTATCCACGCCATCGTCGTCTTTGTCACCACCACCACCACCACCACCACCACCATCTTCACCACCGCCATCAGCACCGCCAACGCCACCATCAAGCCCTGAAAGAAGAATCCGAGCGTTTCCGGACAATTTCGAGTCCCGCAGCAAGCTATGATTTCCACGCGGATGAGCAGCCGGTGCAATTGCAGCAAAGCGTGTCTTCTCTCTGCCGTGCTAGCCTCTCCGGCGAAGAGGCGCGACTATAGCTCGGAGGCGCGATTATCCAAGCTTGGCTGGCCAAAGGATTTTCTCTTCGTGAGCTCCACCCTTACGCGAGGGAGGATGGCAGGGTGAGAGGACAGGGAAGGGGCACCTATAAGGCAGAGGCAAGCCACGGTTCCGTAGTTTCGCCTCCGCCTACACACGTCTACCTACACACAGTCTAACTACACGTGCGTGTGGCGACACACACACACACACGCACGCAAACGCAAAGACGAACGTAGATATAAGTGCATACATAGGTGTATTTACACACACGGGAGAAGACGGGATATAGTCGGTCAAGTGTATGGTACAGGTGCATGGGTGTGTGTTGGCGCGTGTACCTTGTCATAAATTGCTGGCACATTGCTGCTGGGTGGAACGTATGTGTTCCTGCATCGGCCAGAACCGCTTCCACCGGTCCTTCTTGATTGCCTACCGGCGATGGTCCAAAAGAAGGAGTTGCCTACTCATGCGTGAACACACGCGTCAAAGGGACGCGCGTCCAGCTTCTTCGATCGTTCATTGAATCTCTCTCTTTCTGTCTCTCTCTTCCCTGTCGTTCATGCACCGTCGGCGATCGGGAAGATTCGAGGCGGCCCCCGGGGAAAGTCGCGCCCAGCGAGCTTTATAGAGTCGTTCGAACGATCGTTCTTTTCTGGCGGGAGGGAAGGCGTGGACACGCGTTTTTTTTCTGATACAGTCAGCGTTGTGTCGAGGCATCGCGCGACCAAAGACTGCTTTCCTTCAAATTTTGATCTTACACTCATTTTGAAAAGGGAGGGAAGACTGACTTTGAAGATGCTAAAAA